CCCTACTTCCCAACTAAATCTAACTCCCTCTCCCAGTTATCAATCCAACTTTCACTTCCATTCCCACTATCACTTTCACTCCTGCTCAAGCTCTCACTCTTAGTCTAATTCCCACTCCCGATTTTACTCCCGCTCTTACTCTCGTTCTTATTATTACTCCCACCTCCAAACTAAATATAACTCTCTCTTCTAACTTTCACTCCTACTCCTACTCTCACTTTCACTATCTCTATCACTTTCACTCTTTTTCCCACTTCCACTGCTAACCTTGTCGGAAGAGGACAGCCGACCTGCATTCGTGTACAGTCGTCTGACTTGGACACGACGTTCAGGTTGACGCAGTCCGTGAGGCATCCGCCTTCGTTTCAGGTGACAACGAGCTGAACATTTGTTCATCATACGACGGACAGCATCGGAGACGGAACTAATTCTTGTCAAAGTCTCATGCCAACACTAATTAATCGCGCCCGTTTTTATCCAAAATGAGTGAAGATGTCTCGTATCAAACGAGCAACGGGGAAAAGTCGTTCGTCTTGCGGTGAAATAAACCAGCCAATCTTTGCATCATGCCCGTTGATACAAAATGAAATTCTCCACAACAATTGTGACATGACTTTGCATTTTGAAGAAAAAGTTGGTTGGAAAGAATTTATGATGTCGTCTCACCGGAAACAGAAGGATTGCGACGTAGGGAAGACTCGTGTATTGTGCAAACAGTCGTCACCACGCGGCAAACCTGTTCCGGTTTCCGATGAGGCCATATCCCGGATTCCTTCCAACAAACTTGTTCTGGTGAATGGAAAGTCATGTCACAATTTATCACCAAGGCCTTCTTAGAAACCCAATTTTTCTTCATATCTCAACGGTAAGGCCATCTCAAGACACTCATCAAAACCCAGCTACTCTTCGTATCTGTCCAGCGTGAGTTAAGAGACGTCTGTCTGGCTTGCCTTGAATTTCGCATCTGCCCTGTGCCACCTGGTACACTTCGCCGTGATGTGGAGAGGAGTGAGGTTAAATGTAGTAGAGAATAGTAGAGTAAATTAGAACAGATTAGAGTAGAATAGAGTAGAGTAGAGTATTGTAGAGTATAGTAGAGTAGGGTAGAGTAGGGTAGAGTAGAGTAGAGTATTGTAGAGTAGAATAGGATAAAGTAGAGTAGAAAAAAGTAGAGTATAATAAAGTAGAGTAGAGTAGAGTAGAGTATAAACAAGTAGAGTAGAGTAAAGTAGAGTAGAGTAGAGTAGAGTAGAGTAGAGTAGAGAAGAGTAGAGTAGATGAGATTAGAGTGGAGTAGAGTAAAGTTGAGTATAGTATAGTAGAGTAGAGTAGAGTAAAGTAGAGATGTGTAGAATAGAGGAAAGGAGAGGAGATTAGAGTAGAGTAGGGTAAATTTGAGTAGAGTATAGTAGAGTAGAGTAGATGAGAATAGAGTGTAGTAAAGTATAGTAGAGTATAGTAGAGTATAGTAGAGTAGAGTATAGTAGAGAAGAGAAGAGTAGAGTAGAATAGAGGAGAGAAGAGTAGAGTAGAATAGAGTAGAGTAAAGCTGAGTAGATTAGAGTAGAGTAGAATAGATCGACTCGAGTAGAGTAGAGTAGAGTAGTGTAGATTCGAGTAGAGTAGATTCTAGTGATATATAATAGTTAAAGTGGGGTGGAGTAGTAGTGGAGTAAAATGGAGTGGAGTGGAGGTTCAAACTCGCTAGAGATGCTGAGGCGGCCAGTTCAGACGAGCTGGAAAGCGCAGTCCATCTTGGCCGGAATGCGAGGCAGTCTTTTGGGAGACGAAGCTACGCGTAATGTAATGGCCCTTTGAGGCCTTCTCACCGAATTGTCTAAAGACCAGTCAACTATCAGTCCTTGCATCACCTTGACCGACTGCGACTGCGACTGCGACTCACTAAGTTCTTCGTTCTGTACACGATGTTTGCTGCACATTCACTGCCGTCCGAACAGCAAGGAGAAAGGTGGCAACATCTGCACCAACTGCAATCCAGTCCCATTGCAAGACTGGACTGCAGTTGAGGCTCAGCTGAATCCGTGGCTAAAGGCGAGCATTGCATAGCACGAGAATGCCGCTAGCTGCGAACTGCTGTGCAAATTGTGCAAATGCATGCTCGTTGTTGGGCCAGTCACGAGGCTGTTTCTACAGCAGACCAAGAAGATGATGGCGAAAAGGAGGAAAGGTGAGCAGGAGGAGAAGGATAAGAAAGAGAAAAAAGAAAAGAAAGAGAAGAAAAATGAGAAGAAGAAGAAGAAGAAGAAGGAGGGAAAGGAGATAGAGAATGAGGGGAAGAAGAAGAAGAGTCGTGGTTAAAGTGAACAGTGAAGAATGAGTGTACAAATGACAGGATACACGTTGCCACGCAGTCTTCTTCCGCTAGTCGGGCCGGGCAAAGCAGCGTTGTAGGAGGGAAGCCAAGCGCCCATTTGAGTGACATTGTAATCCCTAAAGACTTACCTGTTTGCATCTCTTTAACTTCTCTTTCTTCCCACCATCCACATACACGTATGTGCATATACCCACTTTGATACATGCAAACACACACACACACACATACACACATATACACATATATACCGATTGGCAGGATACAAGCGAGCACCGCGACGAGTTGCGCCAGCGGGCAGGCGACTACCTTCAGGAGGTGTCGCGACTGGAACGGGTTCTGTCGGAGCGCGAGTCCGAGCGCGAGGGTCTGTTGGAACAGGCGCGTGGGGCCGGTGAAGAGGCGGAGAACTGGCGGGCGCGTTGGGAAGCGGCTGAGGCGGCGTTGGCGGCGATGCGGGCCGACTTGGACGAACGCGACAAAGAGGCGAGTCGAGAGCGCGAACGGGCCGACTCGAAAGAGCGCGAGTTGGTCACGTGTCGAGCAGCACTCAACGCCACAGAGTTGCAGGTGAGTGCGTTGGGGCGAGCTGGACCAGGTCGAGATGTGACGAGGGGACAATTAGTATGAGGAAGAGGATAATGATGATTATGATGGTTGTGATAATGATGATGATGATGATGATAATAGGGATGGTGGTGATGGTGATGATGATAATGGTGGTAGTGATGGTGGTGGTGATTATGAGGATGATGATGACGATGATATTGGTTGTGGTAGTAGGGGTGGTGACAATAATGTTGATGCTGGTAATGGTAGCGATGATGACGATGATGATAATGGTGGCGATCATGATTATAATG